GGGCGGTGCTCATCCCCGTTTCCAAGCCATAGAGCCAGCGTTTTTTTGTCCGAAGACAATCTTCCGTGGTCACCGTGGACAGTGCGACTTAGACACGGAATGCTGTTACCTTCCCACCGAAGTGGTCCCTATTTATCTACTCGCATTTACATGCTTTCGAACTGCTAGGTTGGCAGGAGCTGGGACAAGCGACGGGCGCTCACTCAGTTGCGTGGATTCGATCTTACGACTGCCGGTCTTCTGACCCTGCAGCACAGGCTTCTGCGGTTTAGCCCACAGCGCCACCACATCCCTCTAGCAAGAATACATACTCTTAGTCTAACCTGACCTATGCCTCAAAGAGCATCAGCTACTGTTTTGCTGTCCCATAAGGTGCGAAGGGACACATTCAGAGTGTGGGAAGTTCCTTTCAAAAGTAATTTATAGTTTCTGGAAGGTGCACCTCAACCACACCTAAGCAACAGAGACATCTCGCCTTTCTTCTTCCAGAACTGATACAGCAGCCACAGGAAGCTCTTCGATCTATTACAAGGTATGCCTAGTGTTTGCCATAATCTGCGTTTTTCAGCATCTGCGGGGTGGGGATGGGGGCTTGGAACAGATCCTCCACGGATATGGGAGTCCTACTCTAATTAAATAATAATAATAATTGTGCATCCGTTCTTTCACAACTGTCTGCAGAGCAGTGCCCTCTGCGGGTCTCCAGCTGGTGTGCACTCTTGTCTTCTCGCAATTTTGGCACCCACTATCTCCCACTCGCTCCTCCCTGGTCCACAGGGGCAAACGGATCCCCACAGCACCAAAATGGTGGTGCCCTCCAATAGAAAGTTTATGCTTTCTTAAAAAGAAAAAAAGGGGGGGGGAATTAGTAGGGTTAGGAGGTGTTGCAGTTTATCTTCCTAACATTTATCAGCAGAACCTCGGTTCATGCCGGTTTGTTGGCGAAGCGCCACAGGTGTCGCACATTCCCATCCCGCCCCCCCCCCTGCACACCGCTCTTCTGCTCTTCAGGCGATCGTCCAGAGGCAACAGGAACTTGTGCTTCTCTACTTTGCCTCCTTTGGCAGCCGCCCACTCCCTGGTCACCTCCTGGCATGAGTGGGCTGCTGCTAGAGGAGGCAGGGAAGGGATGCAGGTGCTCCTGATGCGGCTGGACAATTGCACAGGGAGGAGGTAAAGAGCAGCACACACCCGCTGGTATGGGAGAGAGCTGGACTGGGGGGGCGGCGAGGGAAGGGAATGAGCAACACCGGTGGTACCATGCCAACAAACTGACATGAACCTCCGAACCAAGGTTTCTGCCCATTTCTCATAAGTAGACTCACCTCTTAAATTTCAATTCCCTCTATATTGAGATGCCCCAAGGCAAAGATCCAGTTGCTTCGCTCTAGTTACGGCCTTTTCTGTACCCCCCCAACATTTTCTGCAAGACTGTTTTCCACTGAAAGTCCACGACAGCTGCCATCTTTCACCCTCTCGCCTGAAAACAAGGACCACTGAACTTCGTGGGACTTCCTTCTGAGTAGACCAACATGGGACGACATTGCTGGAAAGTGACTGGGATGAGTTCACGTAATGAGGAGGAATGCTAAAATAGAGTTGTTTGCCATTTGAGCATACAAAATAACTACATTTTTGATGGGGGTTTTAATGAATTTACACTGTGGATTGATTTTTTTTTTAAAAAAAATCCCTTTTGAAACTCTGGAGTATGTCTGAGGGGGGTCACCTAGAGAGTTTGACTCCGAGGTTGTCACCATCAACTGTGACTCTCACGAGTGTATCCAGGCTGGTTATTCTTCTCCGGACACAGTGATCGATTTGAAATGGGGAGGTGAGGGTTAAAAGCCTTTTGCATGCAAGATCAAAGCCAAATAAGTGTTTGAATAGGGCCTTTATGACTTTGCACTGGGCTTTGCAAGGAAGACCTCTACAGGGTCTTATTTGTGTACAGATTCTGTGCCCCAGCTGACGAAACAAAAGAGATTTCCTCTTGTTAAGGACAAAAATTTTTGAACTGAAATGCTTAACCACTAGCAGCAAATACAATGTGCTTTTTACCAAAAAAAAAATCTTATAATTTTTATTACTGTTTAATTCTAAATATCCAATAGGGTCTTTAGATCAACCAGTGATATAATCTGATATGTCCTTTATGCTTCTTTCAATGCTCTGTCATAATTTCTATTTCTTATCTCTGTGTTTTGCACAACTTCTGTATTAGAAAGCATTATTTGTGTATTACAAGGGGTTTGTTATCTTGGAGAAATTTGTGGTTAATTTCTTTTAGTTAGCAGAGCGTAAAGCACAAAAGCCAGCTGCAACACAGGGGAAATGTGAAGGATAATAGCTAAAAGTCCAATTTCCTCCCAGCCCATTTTGTTCTCACAGTGACTAGCCTTTTGTATATTAAAAGTAAGTTAGGTAGAAAAAGAAAAACATCTTTACTTACAGTTGTGGAACTTCAACTATAATCAGAAGAATAAAAAAGAATAAAGAAAAAAAATTGCAGTCTCCCCCATGCTACCGTGTTTCCCCGAAAATAAGACAGGGTCTTATATTAATGTTTGCTCCAAAAAAACACATTAGGGCTTATTTTCAGGGGATGTTTTATATTTTTTTCCCATGTACAACCATCTACATTTATTCAAATACAGTCGTATCATCTTTTTCTGGTGGCTGGCACTCTCAACATGTCGAAAACAGAGCACCCAGCCCCACTGATTCTATCGTCAATTTCATAGAAACATAAAATAATAAGCTTTAGCACTCTCCCCAAACTACAAATCCCATATTTTCACAGAGCTGAGGCACAACTGTTACAAGTCAAACTGCTATACCTATTGCGCGTAGGTATATATGTATATATTGTGTTCTACAACGCACTCTCAACATGCCGAAAACGGAGCACCCAGCCCCACTGATTCTATCGTCAATTTCATAGAAACATAAAATAATAAGCTTTAGCACTCTCCCCAAACTACAAATCCCATATTTTCACAGAGCTGAGGCACAACTGTTACAAGTCAAACTGCTATACCTATTGCGCGTAGGTATATATGTATATATTGTGTTCTACAACTTCGAAATAGGACTGACGGCATTCCCCCCCACCCAGATATGAGAAACGTCATTCCGACAGCCTGTTGGGATTGCCGCTGAGTTAAGAAGGAAATAGGAAAGCTGGGGGGGGGGGGGTCAGGGATAAATGATTGAATATTTGCCCTGGTGAGTCAAAAAGTCCCAGGATTCTGCCCCCCCCCCAAAAAAAGCCCTGGTTTCTCTTGATACCCTTACATCCGACAGACCACATAGGACACGTATCTTCTACGTTGGAGGGTCTGATCCCCAGCCAGTCCTGCACACCTCACACGAGCGTAACAACTCACTCACTGTCAAATTCATCCATCATCCTCCCTCCCCACCCCCCAAATTCCCTCTGCTCACCTAACTCTGGTCTTCTCGTTGCCAGCGTTAACTCCGGTTTTACATTCCTTGTTCTATTCTAGCTTTCCCAGGGATCACTAAGGAAATCTAATGATCTCAGCTTCTTTCCTGTTTTTGATCTCTCTGTGTTTTTTTTCCACCTTTCCACAATCAGCCGGTGCTTTCCTCCCTTTCGCCTCCCTATCTCCTGCAACATCAGCACTTAAACCATCCAGAAAGAAGGTCAGAGAGCCAACTTTCTAAGCTGTATAGACGGTAACAGAGAGGAAATGGACTCTTTTTTTCTTCTTCTTCCAGGAGAACCTCTGAATCTTCTCTTGGAGTTCTCAGCCAGGAGGAGGGACACTGAACAGGCAACCCATAAAGGTTTAAAAAAAGACGGTTGGGGGAAACAAGTCACGGTTTCTTCCAGCCTCCATCTCTGGAAGCTGTTCAGTCTCCTTCCTCAAGAGCCCCGCCATAGCCCTTCTCACGCCCACCCTACTTCTCCTCAAGAGGACCTCTCGAAGAGCTACTTGTGTTTTGCAATGCGGTTTCTCCAAATCCTCAGACACCCTAGCCCGATACCGAGAGTTAAGGAATGGCCGGAAAGGTTTTTTTAAAAAATCCACAAGGATTTTAAATTATATTTCTTAACATGGAAGAAGAACTGCCAGCTCCACAGGATCTAATCTGGGCTGTCACTTTCCACTCGCCAAGGATGACTCTCCGTAGTCCGTGAAGTGAGAGTGCAGACCGGAACTCCCACTCGTATTGCCAGATGAGCCATCAGAGATAAGAGTGCAGATTCCCCCCCGATCGTAAAGAAACATGTCAGATGGTCGGATTCCAAAAAGATCTCCTGTATGGAGAATGAGTGCAGGGAAATCGCCCCAGAGGGAGACCCCAGCTGTGATACAAGGATATCTGCAAGTGGGATCTGAAGCCCTTAGGAATAGACCTCAACAGATGGGAAACTCTGACATCTGAGCGGTCAACCTGGAGGCAGGCACTGCATCACGGCCTCTCCCAATTTGAAGAGACCCTTGTCCAGCAGGCCGAGGCAAAGAGGCAGTCCCTGAAGCAGCAAAATCAGGGAGCTGGACAGGGGACAGATTGCGTTCGTGTTCAGTGTGGAAGGGATGGTCACTCTCGAATTGGCCTCCTCAGCCACACTAGATGCTGTTCCACGTCCTCCATACAGAGCACGTTACCATAGTCTCTTGAGACTGTAGGATGCCTAGTCTAATCTAAAAGGAAACATGTGGCACTAGATGCTAGCTGAAAGCACCAGGGAGAGAAAGTCCAGCCATTGTTTCAGCCTGGGGAAGGGGCCAGGCCACCCACGTCATCTAGCCATAGCGAGAGGAGGCCAGAGTGACAGATCTTCTACTGATCCACGCAGTAGGTACTGGACCAACAGCCAGGATCCTGCCACTGTTTACATATGGTTCGCCTAACATGCCAATAGGATCTTGGCCAATACATTCGAATGACAGGAACAAGGAACTAGTCTAGATGTCTGCTTATTTGCGTTTTCGGACCACAACTCCCAAAACACAAATCGTAGTCCCAAACTGACCACGTTTCTAATGGAGACTAAGCATTTTTTTAAAAAAAATCTCAATAATATAAGCTTCTTCGACAGTAGAATTCGAAGTGATGGTTCTAACCTATAAAACCCTAAAATGGTCTTGCCATGTTCACTGCTGTGTTTCATGAGGACACACAAGAAAGCCTTCTCTGTGGCTGCGTGCACAGCTGTGTTTCATGAGGACACAGGAGAAAGCCTTCTCTGTGGCTGCTCCCAGACTATGGAACTCCCTCCCACTGGAAGCTGAGCTGGTCTCATATTTGCCATCCATCCGGTAGCAGGTGAAGACTTTTCTCTTCAGGCACGTTTCCCCGGGTGAACGGCTGCTGAGTGGGGTTTTTTAAAATGGATTGTTGCACCTTACGGCTTTGAATGTGTTTTGGTATTGCTTCTGTTTTTTGGCAATATATTAATTGATCCTTTTAATATCATATACTTGTTGGTACGAACGTAAATACTGTCCTTTAATTGTTGTAAGCCACTCTGGGTCCCAGTCTGACTTTAATTCTGTTTCTTAAAGTAGGGGATAGACAAACCTGCTGTCCAAACAGATTTCCTGCATTAGCATGGAGCTGGACTAGATGACCTCCGAGATCCTTTCAGACCTCTGGTTCTATAAGCAGTGTCAAAGCAACATATTTGAACTTTCTGGCAGCATACAACACCTTTACTGCCACAATCGGCCCTTCCTGAAGTTTTGAAATCACTTTTAAAGGAACCCTGCCTTGTAATATTGTTGAAAGCGTTGCATTACAGGCAAAAACAGAGAAAAAGGAAGGAAGGAAGGAAGGAAGGAAGGAAGGAAGGAAAGAAAGAAAGAAAGAAAGAAAG